GGGCTTGGTTTGTCATAGCTGGGAAGGAGGGTCCCACCTGCCCTGATGCCTGGGGCTTGGCCCTCACCCAAGGACCCTGGGCAGTCTTGGGCGCACCTGTTATCTTGTCCTCTGTGTGCGCATCACCCCTGCAGGGTGACGAGCTGCATCTCCCCTGGGCCTCCTCGCCATGGCAGCTGCTGTGAAACACCAGGTCGGGTCATCTCAAGGTCAGGGTCTGACAGCTCTTCCTCGGGTGGATGTGCAACAGCTGGTCCAGCCGTTAGTAAGTGGGAATTCGAGTGTCAGCTGCCAGCCTGGGCACGCATGTGTGTTCCAGCTCCATCTGCCAACATGCCAGCCCAAGCTTTGATGACTTCTTTGCTCATATCTGATCTACCTGAGTGTGCTAACCCACAGTGCCTTGTGCGCACACACACAAACATTGACACAGCTGCCCGAACACACACAAGTTCTAGTCCCATTGGCAAACCCGCTTGTATACACGTGTGCACACCCATACACCAGCGGATCGCACACATGTCCTCATGTAAACACGCATGCCCAGGACATGCACGCACACCTGCACCAGGAGAGGTTGGGCAAGGAGCTCTCCAGGCTCCTTCTGGTGCTGAGGATGTGGTGAGCAGCAGGGGCCTGCTTTCCGGCTCATCTTCCTAATGACACTGACCTAGGAGGAAGAAAGGGCAGGTCTCCAGCACCCTGCTTCTGCCCCAGCTGTCTGGGATGAGACTTTCTGGCCGACTAACATCTGCTCTGGTACCTGGCATCCTGAGATGTCCTGTCCAGTTGCCAAGTTCCAACAAAATGACTGCTCATGACAGGTAAGCGATGGGTGGGATTTGGTACTGTGCATGAAGGCGGAGGGTCAGGGGATGTACCCTCTCTGGACATGACTGTGAGGCGTCACCTATCCCAGCCCAGGTGAGGTCCTGAGGACTGTCCTCTGCAGGTCTCGGCCAGGTGTACCCCCCTGGCTGGAATTTGAGAGTCCCTCTCTACAGCAGTACGGTCTGGGGCTAGCAGCTCAGCTATGGGCTCTGCGGGGCTGGGAGCCCTGGACACAATCTGTTCTGAAATGTGATCTCCCCTCACTGTGTCTAAGCCAGGTACAAGCTGGCTGCCTCAGTTTCCTCTGACATGGAGATGGGATTCCTCTTTTTATCTGTCTAAGGCCTGACCTGTTCCCCTAACGGAGAGACTCTGCAGGAGTCTGGGGCTAGCCACCTCTTCCCCCAGTCCCCGTCTAGCTGGAACTGGTACCCACTGGCTGGGACTCCTGTGTTGTACTGCTGGCTCTTGGTCATGGCGGCATCACACAAGTGGGCAGAAGCCCCAGCTCTGATGCGGCCTATTTGCCCCGTCTAGCCGTCTCTGCTTTCTCAGCCGGCCACATAGCTGGGCCTGGAGCGGGTGCATTCCACAGAATGTCTTCTCCTCTAGTAAAGTTTTTTTTTCCGGCATGCTTCTGCCCCTAGACAAAAGTGGTCCCTCACTGGGACTTTGACAGGGCTCTCAAAAGAGTTGAGTGCTGTAATCTGTCTGCTTTGGTGTTTTCCCCAGAGTGCCGTGAACCATTAAGGGAGAGACCATGTTTTGTACATAGGTTGTTCAGTATCCTCACAGGACCTGTCCCGGAGTCAGTTCTCAATGGGCAGTTGTTGACTGGGGCTGAATAAATGACTGAATAAATGAATGAATGAAGAGGCACCTGACAAGGTCATAAATCTTGGTTCCTGGTGCTAGTCAACTATGGACCCTCTGCGGGCCTTTGACATGCTCCCTTCTGCTCCAACCATCCAGAAGCTGGTAGACTGGGGTAGCCAAGGGGTGCACACTGAAATGCCTGTTGAGCCAGACAAGCTGTGGAAATGTGTGAAACAGCTGAGGAACAGGCAATAGGGAGTGGTGGGGACTGCTTCATACGTTTGAGCATCATATCCACCAAGTATTTAAACACTGAGTTGAACAAGCAAAAGGGTTGCCTTTTTATATGCAAAAAGGACCTTTTCAGTTCTGACATCTTGTAATTTGACACCTCCCACCCTCTGGTTCATCCTTTGCAAGTTCTGAGGGGCAGGGCAGTCTGATGGATTAAACAGCAGATGAGACAAAGACCTCTTCCAGAGATGGAGCTGCTGATAACAAGCCTGCCAGCTGCCTCGGGAACTGGCCACATGTTACCAGGCTGCTTGTAAACAGGCAAGGTCCAGCCAACACTTGGGAGACCAGGCTAGATACCTGGACACACCCAGATCTTTAAAGTTTTATGATGCTTTCACAGCAGGGCAAGTGGCTGCGGATGGATTCCCCTGGGGGAGTCACGTGTGGAGTCCTGCCTGAACATTAACCAGCCAGGACGTGGCCTCTGCATGGCTCCAGAAAGTGTTCTACCCTGGACAGTCTGCCCAGAGATAAGCTTGGAGATGAATCAGCAGAGTAGGGGGTGCGCAGGACTGTAAAGTGCATGTGGTACCCAACAGGAAGTTCTATGATGTCTGGGGATGAAATTGGTCCCAGAGGACCTTGTCTTGAACAGAGGTGGGGAAGGGAAGAGGCCTGGATCTGTTTAGTTTGGTGGAAGCGAATCTGTGATGACCACTGGGTTTCTCTTTTACAGCCAGGCATTTCTCATGTCCTCACTCCCTCTCCCTGACAGCCCTCTGCGATAGGCAGTCACAGCCTCATTTTCCCGATGGGGAAGCTGAGGCTCTGCGAGGTCATCTGACCTCCCTGATGTCACACAGTGGGCACACTACAGAGCCATATTTGAACCCAGGTCTGTCTGGGACAGCTGTGCTCCGTCAGCTGCGCCAGGGGTCCCGCCCAGCCAGGGAGTTGGGCCCCTTTGGTTGCCATGAGACCACACACCTTCTCTAATTACACTGCTATAGCCTGCCCTTGTGTTTAGATTCTTCAAGGAGTCAGTCAAGGCAACAAAAGAATTTCAGTTTTATAATGTAAAGTTGTTTCCAGATGTTTGGGTTTTCTTTGTGTCCTCTTAAGGTCCCCCATAGCCTTGAATAGCCTTATTTATAAGATTTTCCCCTGTCGACTCAGTACCCTTTGAAGGCGAAGTTCTTCCATCGAGTTTATAGTCCCATGTCACAAATTCTGGAGGTGGCACCCCGCTGGTGGAGCAGGGAGAAGAGTGTCTGGCACTGGGCCAGTGTCCAGCTCTGCCCAGGGCACTTCTGTTAGCTTGGGAACCAATCTCAGGCTTTCCCACCCTCCTCAGAGGAAGAATAGATGGGTCAGGGTGGGCAGGCAGGGGCAGCGTCCTCAGCTCCCTTCTGTGCCCTCCACCTTTGCCCGGGGTTGCTCTGAGAGCTGGTATATCGGGAAGGCCCCTTTGGGTCACTGCCCATCCGGCTGGAGGCGGGTCTCTTTCTGTCACTGTCTCCCTCAGGCCAGTGGCTTAGAGCTGCGGGAATGCATCCTTTTTGCCCCTCAGGGACAGCCTCCTTTCCCCAGGGCATGGCTGTCTGCCTTTGATCTGTGTACCTTAAATGATGTCCTTACCGCACCCTCAGAGAAGCCGAGGCTCCTGGGGCACAAGGTGGGACTCAGTTCAGGGGCCGGACACATGGCGGTTAAATCGTTTCCCCTGGTTGACGCTCCGTACACCTGTTTTGTTTTGTGTGTGTTCACCTTCTCTTGGGCGGGGTGGCGGTGGCAGAGAGGGCAGGAGGCAGGTGAGGGACATGGATCTGGAATGGCCGGCTCTCGTACTGCTGGTAGGTGAGGGGTCCACCTTGCAAGAGGTTTCCTGGTAGGAGTCCCACACAGCACCGGAACATTCATCGTGGACTTGCCCCCGCAGCGCACCCTGCTACTGGGTCACAAGGCCAGTCCACTGCTGTTCAGAAACCCCTTAACTCCCTCCCCACTGTGCCTCGCCCGCTGTCCTGCCTTAGTTCCAGCTCATTCCATCCCCTCCTAATGGCCTTTCCTGTGTTCTGGCGCTCCGTTGCCCTCAGGAGGAACTCAAAATATCCGATAATTTTTGGTGCTCTCATGGCCCCCGACTGAAGCCTCCACTTCCCCTTTGTCCCCTGATTGTGCTGTCCAGGGGCTGGAGTCTTCTCAAACACTCAAGTCTTCACCCCAACACACACACACACACACACACGCACACGCACACGCACATGTGTGTCTCTTCTCCAGCTGGACCTCTCCCAGAACTCAGTGCGAGCATCAGCTCCTCATCCGTTCACCCCTCAAGGACCATATTTGCTCGTCTCTGAGCCTCAGAACCAGCATGGTCTGACAATGACCTACCCCAGGAATGGGTGAGGGAGGGAGGGAGTGGTTGAGCTCACAAAGGAGTCTCTGGAAGGAAGGGAAAGATCTGGTCTATGACAAGGTGAGGACTTCAGGCTTGCTCTGGAAACGTTGTCCCCGGGGCCCGGTGCCAGGGAACCTCTGCCCGTCAGCCTCACACCTAGTGCGCCTGGCATCCTCAGACGTGGCTGTGGGATGATGTGGGGAGGGGCTTCTCGCCTTGCTGGGAGAATCAGATTAGAAGGGAACTTTACTGAGGGATAAGCCTCTTAGATCTGGGCCATCTGTTTCCTCTGAGCCTCCTCTCCGCAGTTCTGTGTTCACTTGGGCATAAACACTCTCCCAGGGTGGGGGCAGGGAAGGCAGGGGCTTCCTCGAACCAGGCTCCCCTGCGGGCCAGGCCGCTTGTGGGCACGTTACATCCATCTGCATGCCCGAGCCCCGTGTCAGCCCTCTGAATAGGTCCTGCGCTCTCCATTTTACAGAAGAGGGAGCTGACATGCCTAGGTCCTATGGAAATCCTGCGGGGGACTGGGATTTGAGACCTGTTGGGTGGGACCGAGACCCTTGCTCTTGTCACTATTCCTCACTCCCCTCCTTTCGTGGTTAGATTGTGCTGTGATGAAGGCGTGGCCTGCAGGAGAGGCCTTGGGGCATGGTTCCCTCCAGCAGAAAGTTGTGGTTCAGAGCCTATCACTGACTTTCTCAAACAACCGTTTGCCAGGCATTTAGTTTATTTGTAATTTGTTTAAATGTTCTTTCCAGCAGATTCACATCAGGAAGTTGGGAAGGGGTTCCTTTGGGGGCCATTGGATGCGGGATGGTTAGGGGCTAGGTGTATGTCAGGACAGCTGAGCCTCTGCATTGCTGATCGGCTGCTCTTGGGTGCCTGTTACCCTGAACCCTAGCCGGCTCGGAAGTCTCTGGGTTTGTAGCTGCTGCAGGTCACGGTGGAATTTTGACTATCGGTGTGCAAGGGTCCAGGTGGGAACTGAGGAGGCCAGGTGGGCTGAGCCTCGATGACAATGACTCTGAAGGTTGGTGGCATGACTGAGATCAGGCTCTGGAGTTCTGGAACTTTCCCAGGGCCCTTGGCGCCTGAGATGAAGCCCTCCAGCGTCCCAGCTCACTGCCAAGTAGGCTGAAGAGGGTGAGTGAAATCCACTGGTGCCGTTCTTGGTTATTTTCTCTCGCTGTGTTTTATATCTCTGAAGCCTGCATGAGCTCAGAGAGGCTAAGTTACTTGTACAAGGCCACACAGCAAGACAGGCATTCCAGAGCTTTTTTGACCTTTGAATTCTTGTTATGGTTTTCAGAAGATTCTGATTCAGGTTTTTCTGAAAGGTAGCATGAGCCCCAGCCAACACGGCAGGCAAGGAATGTGCCTTTATGAGAGGGGCTCAGGTTCATGGGCAGAGGCTTCCATGGGCCAGAGCTCTTGGGGATCTTTGCCATCAGCCCCAACTTCGAGCAGGACATCCTGGGGGAACCTGAGGCTCCTGGGTGCCTCGGGCACTGGGCATGAGGGTCTCAGCCGTAAGGAGCCTGGTTTGGGGAATGCTACACTTGTGGGAGTGCCCCAGGCACCACCCAATAGTGTGGCTTTTTCTTGAGCTTGCATGATCTGCAGTTCCTCACATGGTGCTCTGGGAAGAAGCAGCGAGAGACCAGGACGAGACCGGACAAGACCAGGCAGAGTCGAGGGTAGGGAGAGGAGGGGAAAACACGATCAAGATTCATTTCTAGGTACAAAGATTTCTTTCTAAATCAAAGCAAGAATCAGATCTTACTCTCCTTCCAGGAGGCCCAGAAGGGGAAACATGACCAGCCCAGGCTATTTCAGTCCCGTCAGGGAGAAATCTGCTTTACTGGCAGGAAATGGAGAGAAAGTGGTTTATCTGCTCTATTGCCTCTGTCAAGAGCAGCGTCCACTGAAGCTGAGGGTCTGGAAGGCCCGTTTCTAATGGCTGTGGTGGTGGTGGGGGAGATCACTCGCATCCACTTGAAGGTCCTTGGGGCCTCAGGCTGTCTGCCTCCTCCCAGACAGTGCGACTCGGGCAATATGTGTCTCAAAGCTACTCCTGTATCTTTTGACAAACCAGTCCCATTTATGGGAGGAATAATCCATAAGAAAGAAAAAACTGTGTGCGTTAGTCTTTATAGTTTTGTTTTTCAGGTGTACAGCAAAGTGGTTTAGTTGTGTATCATAGTTTTGTTTTTAATAGCAGAAAAAAATACTGGAAACCATCTGAATATGCTATGGTGGAGAAATGGTTAATTAGTAAATGGTACCTCGTGGTGATGGAAATGTTTAATGGCAACAGAACCCTGTGATTATGAAGCAATACAAAGAAAAATGCTTACAATGTAAAGTTCATTTCAATAATTTAAAAAATGACATACAGTAGGTAAACATGATTGCATGGAAAAAAACAAAGGAAACATAAATGAGAAGGGTTTTAAGTTATGGTAGTGAGATTCTTTTTTTTCTGTTTCTGTTTCTGGATTATTTCTATAAGCAAGGTGGTGTGATAGTTAACAGCATTGAATCTGGAGCCAGATTATCTGGATTCAAAGCCCAGCTCTACCACTTACTTACTGGCTGTGTGATTTTCAGAATGTTACTTAACCTCTCTGTGTTTTGGTGCCTCATCTGTAGAAATGGGGATTGCAATAGTATCTAACTCTTAGGATTCTTGTGAGGGTTTAAATGAATTAACAGATGTTTAAGCGCCGCACAGTAATTGCTATATAACCACTAGCTGTACAAAAAATAAATTTAATTATCATAATTCATCCAGAGCCTCTTATCTTAATCATTAGTAAGTGCTAATGCTGGCGCAATTTTCTCTCTATTTTTCTTCTTATTTGAAAGTGCTCTTGCTTTCCCATAGTGATAGTCATAGTAATACACAGTGTAAACTACTCTTTTCTATCAATATCATATTGTAAGAATTTTCCACCAGCATTTCTGAGTGCTGTAATCTGTCAGCCTGACCCCAGCCCAAGCCTGCTGCCTCTCAAGCACTGACAGAACCAACAAATTGAACATTCCTTAAAAAAATGCTGCAGTGACAATGCTGTCGTATCGATTGCTACAAACTTTTCAAATACTTTAGAGAAAGCCCGCTTTTTAGTAAATTGCTAAATGTGGTAAGTTCAGCAAATTGGCCACTCAGCACATTGATTTCTGATGATGGTTTTGTCAAACTGACCCAGAGTCCTGTGCCTGCCACTTGCTGTCACCGTGGCGGGCCTGGCACAGCACTTAGGGAAAGCCGTGTTAGGGAAGGACGCTTTGGATTGAAGAGGAGACGAGACTGGCATGCTTGTCTCACAGCTGGTGACGTTAGCTCAGGGACATCCTCCAGGCAGCCCTGGGTTACTTTCTCTTTTGACAGACAGTGCACAGACACTTGTGTGTCAGTGAACCAGAGTACAGAGGCCGTATTCCCAGAGCCCGGCACACCCAGCACCCTGCTGCGGATTCCACAGTGTGGATTCCAGTGAACCCCAGGGTCAGCCCAGGAGGACGGCAGGTGAACCCACCAAGCCTGGGCAAGAATGTTTGGGCTTCGGTGTTCAGTGTGGAAATGCTGGCCTCCTGCTCCAGCTGCTTCCTCCACAGCCACAGCAGGGCACGTTTATGGGGTACCAGAGCCAAGCCAGTGCCTGGCTTTGTAGTCACGACCGCAATGACTCCCCATCATAGCCCAGCGAGGTGCCGTCTAGTATCATGCCCTTTCACAGGGGAGGAGACTGACGTTTAGCAGAGCTGGGGGACCTGCTTAAGGGCACACAGTGAGCCGGTGGTGGAGCCGAGATTCCAACTCAGGTAGAGCTTTCCTTCGGGGAAGTCTGCCGTCTCCCTCGGGCCCGCGCACGTCTTTATAAGTGTGCTGCAGGAAACTGCTCTCTTAGAGGAGGCAGTTTGTCATAGAGGAAGGAGATGGACAGATCCTGCTTCCTGGCTCTGCCTCATAGCCTTTCTGAGCCCCCGTTTCCCAGTCTGTAATAAAGTTTTTGGAAGGGGAGGCAATTAGGTTTATTTATTTTATGGAGACACTGGAGACTGAACCCAGGACCTTGTACATGCCAGGCATGTGCTCCACCACTGAGCTACACCCTCCCCCTCCCAGTCTGTAACAAGGTGACCATGCTCCCCTGGGGTGGTGCCAAGGATTTAAATGAGATGGCATGATAGGGACCTAGTAAAAACATTTCGCCCTTCTTGTTCTAAGTTGTTTGCCAGTTCCTGCAGTGGAATTTAAGACAACATAGACACCAAAAGAAATCCAGACTCAACATGGGAGCAATGTACCTAGATTGTTCCAAAGTACCGTGTGACTAACAGCAGTTACCCACATACCTGCACAGGGAGTTCATTAGGCTGTGCTTCCTATGAACTGCGTGTGCTAGTCTGTGTGTGTGTGTTTATGTGTGTGTGCAGGTGCACATATAATCTTAACTTCTCTTCTCTTTTCTTTACTGCCTCTGAGCAAGTCCATCCTGGGGAGGGGTTTGCAGAGTTCAAGCACACCCTGACCTCCCTGGTGCAGAAGGACTCGTGGAAACACACCTCCTCCACCAGGCTGGGGCCTCCGGGGAGAGCAGAGTGCACTCAGCCAGCCGGGGCTCTCGCCCCCCTCCTTGCCTGGGCGGGGGCCTCACACTCTGGTTCGGTGTGTGAGAACTGGTTATTTTTACCTGGCCCCAGCTGGATGTGATGCCAGTTTGGAAGGAGGGGCTGTCAGCTTCTCTGGAGAGGTGGCCTGAGGCTGAGCTGTGCAGCCTCGCTCCCTCCCTCTCCTTCACACCCAGGCTCTCCCTTGGTGCACAGGACTCTTGGTAGCTGGGGGTGGGGGTGGGGGGTGGGGGCTCCAGCTCTGGTCACAGGCTCCTAGGGCCATAGGCTCAGAGGAGCCAGCCAGTTGGGGCCTTCTCAGACCCCTGAGAGGGTACCTGAGGCTACAGAGAGTTGGGGCACAGAAACCCTGAGTTTGTGTCAGGCCTGGCTGGCTCTCCTATGGGTGCTCCACCTGCCTCAGGGTCGAGGACCAAAGGCCAGCAGAGGCCAACAGCTGTAACCTTGCATCCTGGGTCAGGCAACTCCCATGTGTCAGCCTGCCCCTGGCCTGGTGCCCTGGCCCTGGGCGCTGAGTGCCAGCAGACCTCTGCTGGCCCGTCTCTCTCACCGCCCAGTGCCTCCCAGGCCTCGTAGGAGAGGGCAGCCTTGTCTGGAAGCGGAGCCCGGTTCTGCACCTCCAGCCTAGTGCCTGGGACTGGGGCTGCCTGCCTGCAGCTCTGGGGACTCCCTGGACCTGTGTGCCCCATCCCCTCTCGTCACCCCATCTTACATGGCAGCTCACTCACGAGGCCAGCCTTTCTTGGTTCGGAGTTTCTGTGAGCACTCCCTGGTCCCCATCCCTTCTGTCTTCCATGCCTCCCTCTTGCCCATCTCCTGCCTCCGCGCCTGCTGCTCCCCCGCCTGCATGTCCCCTCCATGCTCCTTGGCTAGACTCCTTGCCTTTCGTCAGGTCTCAGAAATGACGCCTCCTCTGATGCCTCCCACTCAGCATAGGAGGTCTTCCCCAGACCATTTTCTAATTGCATCCTGTTCTTTCCCTTGAGGGAATATATTCAGTTCAAGATGATTAATTTGTTGGCTTTTTTTGGGGGGGGAGGTCAGTTTCCCCCACTAGATCAGAAGCTCTGTGAGGGAGGCCCAGGTCACATCTGCTCATGGCCCCTGCTCACAGCGCCAGATGCCCGGCCTGGGTGGGGGCGCATACATGGCCTGTCCCATGGCCTCCCCAGAGCCTCTCTGGAAGCCCGGGCAGGTGTGCGGTCCTTACCTTTCTGAGCCATCAGGTCTGGGCTAGGACCTCGGGGACAGCAGGGCCTGCCTCTCCCAGGCTTGGCAGGGTGCCTCGGATGCCTTCTCCCTGAGGGTGGACAGAGCGACAGAGACGCTCCCATTAGCATGCTTGGGGACACTGGGGACAGGGTCTGTTCAGGAGTGATTGGAGGGAACTTCAGCCCCCAAGGCTGAGCGTTCAGGAATGTTTATTCAAGGACACTCAGGATGGGCCAGGCTGCATATACATGGGAGGGCCCAGGGAAAGAGTGGGCCTTAAGGAGATTAATTTTTCAGAAATAACAAAGTCAACGTGGGGAGACACTCTGCCCTAAGATGTGTGTTCCTCATGTTCCTGTCTGCAAAACAGTTCAGTATCATCCCTCAGAAGCGTCCATGCCCTTTGACCCAGTAATTCTCCCCTTGGCAATCTAAGAAAATAAACCTAAATATAGGAGATGTTTTCTGTACGCCCATGCTTTTTACCATGTACTTAAAATAGTGCAAAGCTGTGAATCATTTAAATGTCTAAACATGTAAATTCATCACAGCACATTCACTTGATGGCAAATATTAGTCCTAAAAATATTCGTCCACTTTGGGGAAGCTCTAGAGATAATCTTAAACGCACAGGAAACTTTGTGGGGAGAGGTATTCACCTTCTTTGAATTGTCATTAGGCTGACATTGGCAACCTCTAATATGTCCTGCTGTACAGGTCTGATAAATTGCGTCGCCATGGACTGTGTTTATGGGGAATTCTAGTCATTGTTTCTTGTATTGTATACATGGCACTGTTCACTGCAGAAACTTTAGAAAACAAACACTTTCTGTAATCCTGTTACTCAGATAGAGATGGTTGCTGTTGACATTCTAGGGTAAATGCTTCCAGATTTCAATCATCGGTATCTTTGGTGACTGTAATAATGTAGTGATACATAAAAGAGAGACAGAGAGTTACCAATTACAAAAATGCTTATACGCAATACTGAAAAGAAACCAAACGTTGAACATGGCCATTCTTGAGTCATGAAATTATGGGTGTTTTTCACCCCCATATTTCTTTCTATATCCTCAAACCCCAATAAATGTTAAAATAACCATACCTGCTAAAAAAAATAAAAGTAGGCAATTTCTAGAGGGTTAGGCAAGAGAAAGAACTCAAAATATTCAGCTACTGAACTGAGGAAGACGGGAAAGCTAAATACTGATATCCACAGAGGTGCAAATACTGTTTCCCTCACTTCTAGACGCACATGAACCTGCCTCCCACTGCACGCGCTCTCATCCCATCTGCCGCAGATGTTTCCTGGGCATGAGATTCAGGTGTATTCAGACTCAGATGGTCTACTAATTCACTGATTCTTTCATTCAACACAAGCTGACTGTGCCCCCAAACAAAATACAAGCGCAACAGAGAGTTTCCAGAGGTAGGACTTAGGCGCATGAAGCAATCCAGCTGGAGGCCATGTGCCCGCATGGTAAGTGCACTGCTTTCACTGGGCTTGTGTGTGCGTGTCTAGGGAGCTGGGGCTGTGGGTGGAGACCGTGGGGTCTAAGGCTTCCGAGCCACCCCCTGATGCCGTCACTGTGGATGGAGGTGCTCCATAGGTGCAGGGGTGACAGCCCGTCTCTCCAGGGCCCAGGATTGCCTGCATGGGGGGGCCTGCCCTCCAGTATGTCCTGATTCCAGCATTCCCAGACATGGGGATCCCTGCTCAGGGACCGCACCCTAGGGGCAGGGGGTGGGGTAGGGAGCAATCCTACCTTCCACAGAGAAGACGGACAAGCAGAGAAGCAAGATACACAGCAAGCTGGTGAGGGCTGGAAGCCTCATGGTGGCAGGCGGGCGGGGAGAATCTCACGTCCTGGGGAGGCCGCTGTGCCGCAGAAGTCCTCGCTTGGGGCCACCCCGGACCTTTATAGAGTGTCAGAGAGAGAGGTATTTCCCAATGGGCAGGGCACCAGCCAACTTGGAATTCTTATAAAGGGTAGAGTCAGCCCCTCCCAGGAGGGAAAAAAAACCAGCTTTTCGAGAAGTTGAGAACGTTTGGTGAACTGTAACACACAGAGCTATAAATGCCCAGCCCTGGGAGGGAGCTCCGGCACTGGCCTCGGGAAGCTCATGACAGGGAAGAGCCACTTCCCAGGGTTGAACGTTAACTTTTAGTGACAGTAATCATTCCATCAAATACAGATTTTCCTGCTCATTCCCATGGGAGATGCTGGTACAGCAGGAAAGGAGGTGGACCTGCGGCTGGACCTTGACGGGTGTTCGAGACAGTCATGAGACAAAAGGACACTTTGGGTACAGGATCAACCTGAGCAAAGATGTGGAGAAAGAGAACGTCCTACAGGGGGCAAGCATGGGGGAAAGTTGGCCAATGGTGCTAGGGGTCCCGGTGTCACCTGCTCATTAGGACACCCACACGGCCTGGTCTCAGGGAGCTTCTGTTGGTGGAGGCAGTCATGCAGAAACAGACCTTAACATGTGTGCCCTTCTAACCAAACAGCTGGCTCTGGTTCCCAGCCTTGAAGGGCACGTTGGGAGACGGCAGTACCTGGTTCAATATTCCGGAAACGCTCTGGTTCCCGGAAGCCAGTTCAGACCGTCCCTGCTGCCAGAGACTGGCCCTCTTCTCTTGCTAGAGATTAGAGCTTCAATTTAAACCACATGCTCAGACAGCTTGGTGAACAAATCAGTTGCCAGGGGATATTTGGAAAGCCAGCCTGTAAGCTTTCATGCGTTTCCAAAAGCTTAAAACCAAACCACACAAAGAACCTGGTTGGGGCCTCGGTGCTTAAGGCCCATTCATCATACTGTGTTAGTCACCGGGCTAGCCGCAGCCAGATTTCCTTTCCAGGCTGTGTTCTGAATCCTGCCGGCTGAATCCTGAGTGGGTAGTGGCCATGGCAGCAGGTGTGGTCAGGAAGACCCATGGGGTCTACGAGGGACAACTCCAGAGCTGGTGCCCAGGAGGCACTTAGGAAGGCCACTGTAGGAAGGAGGGTCAGAAGGAGGGTGGGGCTTGTCTTGAGGGTGCATCCGCCAGCCAGCACACTGCTCTTTCTTAGATGGCTTGTTACATGTCGGCAAAGTTTCCCAAAGATGCTTCTGGAGATTAAGATCACGTGCATGACCCACATCAAGGACTATCACCACTACTTTGTCTGTTTTTCATCTGAGGTTGTTCCGGGTGCCACCACCGAGTTCTCTGGGCAACAGCATACCTTCGGCTGCCACTCACCTGTTACCTGCTGTAACAGGTACTCTTTGCACTGGCGCAGTTCTTTTTACTTTTGGCAAATCATCATCAGAGGGGGAAAAGAACAAGCTACTTGGCAGAGAGGGCAGGGACTGGGCCAAATCTTGATCCGCAAACTAAGCCAGGACTTGGGTAATTTTCCCAGGACCGTCCAGCCACTCAGCCATGGAGTCGGAAATAGACGTTAGGTACTGAACACAAACTTTTTTCTCACCACAGAACAGAGCCGTCACTGCACAGGTAAGAGCAAGAACTGGCGATCTCAGGGGTCTGTTCCTTACACACTTGCACATATGACTCAGACTTGCAGGTGTTCCTGGGACCATATGTTTAACGGGAAGAGTAGATTCGGATGTCAGAATTCCATCTGTTTTTTAATGCTTCTGAAAAATTACTGAAGCAATCTATGATGCACTCATCTGAATAACACAGGGTATTAAGTGTAAGTTCCATCTGAAACCTTACTCCCCAGAGACCATCCCTGTTCCCGGATTTTCACCTTTTTTTTTTTTTTAACATTTCAAAGATGGCTGTCAACTTCTTCCCTTAAAAAAGGAAGAAACACCTCTGGCTCTTTAGAATATTTGAAATCTCATGTTGAGCTGAGAGAGGTGAAAATGAGAAGCATTTCAACAGGAACATCTGTTAGTTTTGAGCACATGCATTTTAGTTTGGGTACAAAAATAATCAAATTTGAGGCTTTGAATCATTTCCAAAGATGATTTTGAACACTTCGCAGCCTTCCTGAGGGGGAAAAAATTCTCCAGAGACACACCTAACACTCAGGGGAATTTACAAGGAAGAAAAACTTCTCAAGTCAAATTTGTGATTTCTAAGGTCACTTAGGAAGATGCCCGAAGCGTCCCCCTCCCCCACCCCCACCTTTATGGTGAGAGCATTTTGGCCTGTGCCCTTCACTTCACTCTTGGCCACCACACTCTTCTCAAGACTGTTTTATGGACCCCGTGATTGCTCAGAACTGACTCTCTCTCCTTTATTTGCTTTGCAAATTGTAGCTCAGTTTATACTAGAGGGAGGGGCGAGCTTTGGGAGCAATCCTTCAATTGTCTTCTCATTTACTTCTCCTCCCACCTCAGGGATGCAGGCATTTCACTTCCATTTTGCAACAAGGGAAAGGGACGTTCTCCCTCATCTGAAAGAATATGTTATGGCAACTTCTCACCTGGAATCAGGTCCGTCTGCTTCCAAAGCTGTGATTCTTTTCCTGATGTTCGTTCCACGAGAGCTCATGAATTGTTGAAAATAACCCAAAATGATGATGTTGAGCTTACACGCCACTCCCAAATTGTACAAAAAACCGATGGCTTTGTCCATGTTTTTAGAATTGATCTGAACTTCCTCATAAGCCTCCAACCCAGTGGGTCATGCCTGCCTCTGGGTGCCCTGCTGCTGGGGTCAAGGCTGCCTCCACCCCCGCGCTCGCTGGTCCACGAGGTTCTCACTGATGCTGTGAATCCTCCCACTGTTCCTCATGCCTCCCTCCTTGCTGGTGTGGGCTGCCTACCCACAGTCATGGCTCTGGGCTGCCCTGCCTTGCCATGGTGTCTGCCAGCATCCTCCACGGGGTTGTGCCGGAATGGGACCTTCTCTTCACACCACAGAGGCACCAGGAAGACTGGAAGGGGCTGTCTTTTCTATCCTGTGGCCATGCTATGTTGGTACTGGAGCACGGTGAAGCCACCACCTCTGAGTCCCTAATATAAATAGTCCCTTGGCTTTCTGTTTCTGCTTCTTTCTCTCTCTTTCATTCCTGGCCTTTTGCCCTCAACCCTTCATGCCTACCCCACAATTTTAGCCTGGAGTAGAGGACTCAGGACACTTGCCTTTGATTTCTGTCTCCCCACCTCCCCCACACTAGTGAAAAGCACAGGCTTTATAGCCACATGATCAGGGCTCTAAGCAGAGCTCTGCCCTATTTTAGCTGTGTGACCCTGGACAAGTTGCTCAACATCTCTGTTCCTCAGTAAAACAGTAGCTGAGGTGGGAAAGGAAGAGATCCCTTTGATGAGAGTGGAATGCTAAAGCTGTATGAAAAGATTCTCTTTTGTTTTTTTATATTCGAGTCAGTTGCCGGCAGTAGACTGCACAGCTTTCCCTCTCCTTTTCAATAGCAACGCGTCTCCCAGAAATATCAGCCTCCCGCCTGGGCTCAAGGATGTATGATGCTTCTTTAATGGAATGGTAACTCTCTTTTCTTGCCACAGATTGGGGCAAAATAAAAATAAACACACTGAAATTCAGCTCTAAATGACTGGTAGCAGACCCACTTGCAAATGTGGATTTTGATGGAGAAGGGTGAGAGGACCAGCAGGGCAGGTGCCGTTGACTTGGGCGGCAGGCAGGAAGGCGGATGCCAAAGTTTCCTGCTTTTAAAAGGTCAGCGCTCGGAGCTGGAGAACTGCAGGCAGGGTTGGGATGGATCCTGTTTGTCAGCCTCTGTCCTGTGCTTGCTGGCTTGGCAGCAGGCTTCCCAGAAGAGAGGTGTCACCTCCCCTAATTATCACCCCCACACCTAGCAACACCAGGACAAGGCAGACGTGAAAGGTACAGCCAGAGCTCTGCCTTCCTGGCCCTGGGGTAAACTTCCACCCTGACGTCACTGCAGACACAGCACATAGCTACCCAGGCCTTGAAGGCTCTGGGTTCAGCTCCACTCAGCGGTGACATGTGCCAAAGGCCACAGGGTGGAGACATGTTTTGCTTTCCCACTAAGTTCTGAAAACCTGCAAAGCTTCTTTGAGTGTTTCAATGTATTCCTCTCCACATGGACTTGCCTTTTTAAAAGGTTACTTAGGGACAGCTATAATACATGGAAAAAGATACCAAACACCCCATTTTCCTTCCAAATGCCTATTTTTATCCTGCCACTCAGAACAGTGAAAATCTTGTCATGATTTCTCCAACTTCTTTTCAAATGCCTCTTCTACTTAAATGAGGTAGGTGATCGCACTTCCATCTTTTCTGAGGCATCCAGTATAAGGGTGACATCACTTGACTGTGGGCATACACACGTTTGGTTTGCAGGCAGAGAAGGCTGGGTTCTCTGCAAAGGAGGTCGGGATACTTCCCATGATGCTGCACGTGGGGGCTGCCCCAGACATGCCCCTTCCCACCAAAACAGGGGGCCCCTCCAGCCACCAGCCCTTCTGCGGTGTGTGTAGGACACCTACATTCTTGTGGGCACTCAGCACTCTGAACTCGATCCGTCTGGATAATGCTTTTGTAGTTTCTGAATAATGACTTCATAATTACCTTGGCTCATTTGTTGCTGATTCTTACATTTTAATGACATGGTACCAAACAGAGTGCTTATCTTTTGACCTGATCTCTTAAAAGTGACTCGTAAAGCTTAATACTGCACTGATCAGGCCATGAATTCCCTACCAAGAGTAAAGGCTTCTGCCTCCAGCATTTTCTGCTCAAAGATCAGGAGACCTCTCACAATTACATCTCTCCTGGCCGCCACCCACTGCCTCTGCCCCTCTGATGTTGTCTTCTAGCTGACAAGCTCCCAACCAGGTTGTGACAATAGGGCAAAAGGGGTCTCATTCATCCTGGTTTCTCCCCAGAGCTGGTGCTAAGAGTTCACTCCTTCAAGGAGTAGAGCACTGAACAAACCCATTAACCCCTTACTCTCCTTATGAACAGTCAGATCCTGCCAAACCAA